ATTTCATGATGATATCTTCAATTCTCTAATTTTGGTGAATATTTTTGTCATTTTTGGTAAAAAGTGATATTTTCGACTTCTTGTTAAAAACCGCAAGTTCTATTGCTTTGATATTACATATATAGGTACTACATGTGGATCTCTCTCAGATTTGTTCATTTTGTAATGATATCTTTAATTCTCTAATTTTGGTGAATATTTTTGTCATTTTGGGTAAAAAGTGATATTTTCAACTTCTTGATAAAAACCGCAAGTCCAATTGCTTTGATATTACATATATAGGTACTACATATGGACCACTCTCAAATTTGTTCATTTGTATGATGATATCTTCAATTCTCCAATTTTGATGAATATTTTTGTCATTTTTGGTGAAAAGTGATATTTTTGAATTCTTGTTGAAAACAGCAAGTCCCATTGCATTGATACTATGCATATTGTTCATTTTCTAATGATATCTTCTGTTCTTTAATTGAAATGTGCATTGCTAACAGCGGAGCTATTTCAACCGAGAGGCTGCTTGTTTTAACATGAAATTCAAACATGCGCTGCGCGACGACCACCGTGCTTTAACACCTAACCTGTCACCAACCGTAACCCTAATTTCTCATCAGAAACTGTATATCTACCGGTATTCAGTATTACACTTGTTTCTTTTGCAATTGAAAGTGGTGTTAGTATGAAAGGACTATCACGCACACTTGAACTACAACAATGTCATTATATTCAGAGAACACTAATTTCACACTAACACTAATAAGTTTTGATTGCAAAAAACCTAACTTTCTCTTTACTTTTTGAAGTACCATGGAAAGTAATTCCTATTGTCTGTACAATTTGTGTGAATCAAATTTTTTAATATTCACATTTAATTTTGAAAACTAAAATTTGCTTTCTCGTTAATTTGAGAAATTATTTAAATTGTTTAAAAAAAAATATATCCCCCTCTCAACCCTCACACTAAAATACTGTGATTGATGATTATGCCCATATCCGTCTGTATAGATGTTAAAAACTTTGTGAAGCACTCATTTCCTGATCTGTAAAAAGCATCCAAGCTTAGAAAAATGTTATTTAATTTAGAACAGGCCTTAATTTCTGTTTCTAATGCTTGTTTTGAACTTATTCAACTATCCT